TCTTTTCTGGTGACCTGACCGTTTAGGGAGGATATTCCTGATCCTCAAAACAATCAGATCCCAGCACAATAAAGAACTGCATGTGAGTGGATTTGGTGGATATGTCTGTGTGAGAGAGAGAGCGAGCATAAAAAGGGAAAATATTGGACTCTCCGAACTATTTTGGAAAATTTGCTGTTTTTCAGAGAAACTTGTATTGAAATAGGGTATTTATATATAGTGAATAGTCTAACGATGTACCCCAAACTATTTGGCTGAAAATAGTATTCTCTAGTGTAAATGCAGCCACTTGTTGACCGAAATCTCTCAAAACTTCTCTTCTCGAGCATTAGGAAACAGTAAAAGGTATCAAAAAACGTGCTCAGTGTAAAACAATAACTATATTTCACCTCAATTGAGCAGTTTGAATCACTTTTTGCTGAACCTGGTGCAAATATGGATATTTTTGCCTACATCTCCTCTTCCCATGTTTCATATTTGTGCACATCCCCAAACAGCTATTATTGTTCGTATTGACCTTCCTGAAAATCAAATGTACACTGCTCACTCGATCAAAAGAAAAGTAAAAAAATTATTGTCATTATTATTATTCTTATTATTATTATTATTATTTAGACGGTGAATGTTTGGATTAACCCATTAGGTTTTTCACCGGCACCAGAAGTGAACCCCACATCCGTGATCATCATCAGTGCCGAGCGCTTGTGAAAAAACGAATTCACCACCTAAATTGATTGAGCCATTCGCACAAGGTGCTGATCGTCGACCGTGTAGCTCAGGGTTAAGTGGTTGAAGTTCCAAACCAAGGAATCGCTATTCAAGTCCTGATAGGGATACAAAATTTACACACTGCTGACGAGTCCCAAACAGGAAAAACAACTGTCCAATTCTCTTTGTTGGTTATCACAAACACTTCTGTCGCATTTAAATTATTATTATTATTATTGTAAGCAACAAGCGAATCAGATTAACCGNAACCGGTCAACCTGTCAATCTAAAGCCTTCTCATAGCTAGATTAGCATTAGGCTTCAGAAAGAAATCTGCAGTCCATGCAATCCAAGAGAGCGATAACTTTGCACACCAACCAAATCAAGATCACGTGATTGCATTTCAATGCGACCTTGAAATCAGGAGCGGCAACTTTGAATTGTGTTTCAATCCCCAAAATTAATTTAGTTTATGTTCATATCCTACCCGCATGGGAATTCAGTGAAGCTGGATAATGATGTTGAACTGTAATTCAGTTAATCAAACAAATTATAGATAACTCAATTATTGCTTAGAGTTTGGGTAAAGAGTGTATTCACTAGCCCGGAACTCCGACAGCATTGGTGGCCTCCCGTGGGGATATCAATCAGAACCGAACACAGTGGGGATTGTTCCTAATCGTTTTAGGAACCAGCAGCCAAAGTTACGGAATGTAAGCTGATTTGTG